ATAGGCTGCAAATGTCATGCTCAGGAATTTGAGCCCTGTCCTGTAGACAAAGCAAATGAGAGCTTTTCCAATATTACAACAACACTCTGATGAGCAAATTCACCACACACCATTAGACGCAATCACGGACTGAGGGAGAACCACTCTGGATGGGCTCAATCTTCTGTGGGGCCTTCTGTTCGTAGGCAGGGCTGGATGTGCATTCCTCAGCCTGGCCACTGCCACCAGTTCAAGGACAATGTAGGAAAATGTGCTATGTTTACTAGGCAAAGGTATCTGGACAGGCCAGCGGGATCCCATGGTGGAAACAGTGAAATAAATACCACAAGGGTCACCCTGGATATAAAGACAGGTAGCCGGAACGGAAGAAAGAAATTGTTACGAAAAGAGAAGAAAAGGTGGGTGGGAGGGGAGAGGCCATTCTCCTCTGAAACAGTTCATCTGTACAGGAGGACATCCCAGAGAGGCTCGAAGACCTTCAGTGCAGAACAGGTAACTGTCCTTGGTTTACAGGAAGAAAGCAGAAACCAAAGAGGGTTCCGTGCCTGCCCCAAGAAAGAGAGAGGGGTCTGGGAGTTGGTCTGCTGCAGTTTGAGAAAGGAGGTGTGTGTGTGTGTGTGGTGGGGGGCATGGAAAATGGGCGGAGGGCTGGGGAGGTCCCAGGGCGCACAGCTGAGGAGTCTGTGGGTGGGTGGGGGGCAATGCTGGGGAGGAAGTGCAGCCAGTCCCTTTGTGGGGACAGACTTGTCACACTCTATTCGGCAATGTCTGCCCTGTGCTCTAATTACCCACTTCCAACCCCAACCTTTAGCAAAAGTCTGCTAAACACAGACTCTTTGTTCACGATCTGGGGGGAATGAAAGAAAAAGGGTTTTATCAGCATGGGGACAGGGCCAGAGCCTGGGTCCAGAGTGTTGGAACTGCTGCTGTGTGTGTGTGAGAGTGACAAGCACTGAGTACAGAGTTTGCTTTAACATATGTGAATTGAAGACACGATGCATTATTTTTTCTTATTCAAATTTTTGAAGAGGGTATTGCATTTATCATGGCTCAAAGTTCAAAGAGTATGAAACAGTAGCAGGGAAACATCTCCTTCCCACACCTACCCCTCAGATACCTACTTCCCCACAGGCAACCGACGATACTAGCTCTTGTACCTTTCATGGCTTTGTAAGAGAATAAAACAAACAAAAAAATATGCAAAATGTTTTGTTTCCTCCTAGTTTACACAAATGATACCACATTATATAGACTATAATGCAGGTTGCTTTTTTCATGTGATGATTCCAGGTGATCTTTCTATATCAGCCCCTATCAGAATCCTCCTTCCTTCCCTGAGTTGCATGTGCCTTTACACGGATGAACCGTAATTGATTTAAGCCATCTGCACTGATGGGCCTTTAGGTTGTTTTCTAATTTTTGCTGCTATAACAAATAGTGAGAAGAAGAAGCTGGTAAGATATAATATATTCTTAAATGTGCTCTTATTATATCAAGGGTACAGATTATTTTTTCCACTAAAACATAGATGCAATTTAATATGGCAAACCAGATTTATTTAATAAAAATGTGCTGTTGAAAACATTGTTGTCAGAGATATTTGATTCAGTAGGGTCTACTTTATAAGCAAATACTAGTTATTATAGCTAGTAATAGCAGTATATTTTCAAGAACAGATCATGTAAATATTGAGTGATGTTTAGCATCACTTGACTTAGAATAGCCAAAACCAAGGGCACTTAAAACACTAAGGCAGGGGTTCCCAAACTGTGGTGAGTTGTATAATTATTTCATTATATATTACAATGTAATAATAATAGAGATAAAATGAGCAATAAATGTAATGCACTTGAATCATCCTGAAACCATCCCCCCCCCAACCCCCGTCCGTGGAAAAATTGTCTTCTATGAAAACAGTCCCTGGTGACAGAAAGGTTGGGGACCACTGCACTAAGGGCAATAAGTACAGAGTGAGGTTTGGCTGCTTGGCAGATTGAAGAAGGTCTCAACTTAGAATTAGGAAGCCTGGGTTTGATTCCTCATCCTGCTACCGTGAACTTTTCAGTAAAGTGGGGAAGGTGATTCGTGCCCTGTGAACCTGGCAAAGTTGTTCTGAAGATAAAATGGGAAATTATTTCACCTCTGTGAAATTGTTTATGAACTATAAATGTCTGAACCAATGTTAAATCCTATTGTTATTGCTGTATCACTGGCAGTGCCATTTTTGAAGGTCAGTAGATAATCAATCTATGGAATAAATTCTGAAATATATTTCAAAAAGAAATCACACTGGACATGACTATTTTAATTAAATGCACCAAATGGTGGCCCTTATATATCATAATGTTTTAAAATCCAATTAAATAAAGGATCAGCAAGGAAACAAATGGCTAACCGCCACCGCAACTTTTTTTTTTTTGCACCCTCCCCATCTCCCCACCTCCTCTACAGTTATTAGAATCATGTTCACTGCTAACAACCTTGACAGGTGATAAATCCAGAAACCACTCCAATCTGATGGGGTAGGTAATCTCTTTTTGCCAATTAACACCATTAATATTCTCATATTCACAGGTAATATAATCTCTCTGGATTCACTTGGAAATTATCAATAAAACAAATGAGCAAACAAAATATGACTACTCTGCAAAGTGAAAGGCTGGGCTGCCTGGATTTGAGAAATATTTGGAAACCTACTCATCCCACTCATTAAAACCTTCAGGACACACCATCACTGAAGCAGACGGGTACCCCAGGCTCTTCTCAGCTAAGCCATTCAAGTTTCCGCTGCCTCTTTCTAGTCGCTGCCTCCATGGCAACAGTCCACTGACCTGCCCTTAAGGGAAATAGAATCTCTGGCAAGACTGAGACTTTTAATAATTCCACTTGTCAATACAGGTCAGAGAGAAATGGATGGATTTGTACTAAGTAACTTAACAAACCTACTAGCAAAATGAGCAGCCCCCAGCAAGTGACCAGACCCAGTGGTCAGAGTGACCCTTAGGAAAACCCAACATCACATCATTAATGTCCAAGAAAATCTGCACCACCAACACCTGTCCATCAAACCGCTCACTGAGCTTGGGCTCTTCCTTCAATATTTTCTTTATTTACCTTTTTCCAAAAAGGCAAAAGCATAATGGGTGGTTCATTCAAAGTGATTATTAATCAGATTACTAATTTCTTCCAAAATTTATTTTTAATAAATAAATACAAAAATATCTACAGAAAAGGGCATATTTTATTGCACGAGTTTCCTGATGGGGAAGATCAGTTTCTATTGACCAAACTTCCCTCTTGGCGTAGGACATGGATCTAGAAATAACAGTTCCAATATCCAGAAGCTAAACTCTCATCCCTAACACTGAAGAGACTCTCTTTCTCCTCACCTCTCTGCCTTGAAATGTTCTATCGTGTAGCCTGCAGTTTGTAACAGATTGCCTTTTGGTGGCTTTGCTCTCTGATTCAGAAATATAAACACTGCTTCAGAGATTTATTTTACAATTCATCTTCTGATTTGTCATGGCTGGGAAGGTCGGCTTTCGGATTTTCTATTCTAAATTACTTTTGAACAGATTTGGCAAACAGACTAAGGGATGGCTTTCGTCTGGACCGGAACAAACTCTGAAAGTTGGGACCCAAGTCCCCCTTCTCTTTTGTTAAAATGTAAACAATCAGAAACCCCACAGTTTCCCAAATCAATTACTTGCAAAAGAATAAACAGGTGCTTTGGACACACTGGAGTTATAAAAAGAAAATGGAAAATTATTTTTTCATGGGCCAGCTGCTCAACTGATGTGATTCCCAGGAAGGTTCTCCTAGGCGCGGAAGCTCAATTAGCAAATCAATTAAGATTATCCCTCTCTCTGCCAACAGGACCACAGTGCCACCCTCCGGCCTCCTCTCCATCTCAGGGCTTTCTGGGTACTCCCTGTCACCAATGCCAATGCCGAAGCAGTCAACCCGAGGTTCCTTTGCTTTCCGCTACCTCTGGACAACAGAGGGGCCTCTCCGGCTTAATTAAGGATTAGCAACCTCCAGAAGGAGCAGTGTCTCCGTGCTGGCTGCTTATTGATAGCTGTCAGTCCTAGCTTGCCCAAGAAGCTGGTCTCGGCACACACGCAGCGAGGGCTGACTGGCGTGGCTGGCTGTCACTTTCTTTCAGTGGAAAACAGATAGGACCAGGCAAAGCAGATGGTCCCTAAAGGGGCACATCCCAAAAATCTGCTAGCAAACTGTGGCGGCGCCTTTCAAACAAACAGCAACTTACTGGAGAGGAAAATCAGATCTCCCTGGCCACATCCTGCCACAACCCGCCCCCCCAGCTTGTACACTGGACCACTTCGGAGTTTTCTAATCCTCAGCGAGGCATAATAACTTCATCTGGGCAAAGGACAGCTTGTCTTTCTACGCTTCCCAGAGATAGCCATCATCACCCAGTGCTCCCAGATCTGTCAGTGACACCTGTTATCTAGGTCAGACCATCTTCAAGAAATGGCTGACCTGTGCACCATGGACGGTCACCCAGTCCTAAGGGACCAAAATATGAATATCATGTATTTATGTGGCTAGATGGGTGGAACTAGAGATGGAGCCAGTGACAGATGGCAATTAAACACGTTTCATCATAAAACATTAACGGAGCATTTTTTTCTTTCAGATTCCAAATGAACTCACAAATGATTATTTATGGGAGTCCTATCTCTGACAGCATCAGTTTGAGCGAATCATTTAACATTTCTGGGCCTGAGTTTCCTCATCCGTAAAATGAGGGGGTTGAACTGGGAGATTTCTAAGGTCCCTTTTGGCACTAAAATTCTAGAGTTCTTTGGGTGGGGGTGGGTCTCCCCCAAAATGTTGGCAAATCACATGTGTAATTAACCCCCGATTATTCGGCGTGGACGAGAACGCAAGAGACTGTTTACACACACACACACACACACACACACACACGCACACACACGCACGCACGCATGCACGCATGTACGCACATGGCTTACCTTTTCCACTGACGTGTGTTCTTCATTTGTCACGTTTGCTTTTCTTGATTCGTTTTTAGACCTGCTCAGCCTCCTGGATACTTTTTCTCTGAGCAGAGTGGCATATCCAATATGTTCATAGATGGGGTTCGTTGTCATTTTTGAGATGTATTCGGCAGCTTTTGTTTCTATGTACAGTGTTATCAAGCCATCTGTCACCAGATCGTGAATCGACTCAAACCTCTTCTCTCCCACAAAGTGTTTCCCATCGTGGAAGAGCCTGTAGTTTAAGGTCTGGTTTCCAAACCTGCCCATGAGAGAATGAGGGATGACAACAGTGTTAGAAATAAGAACAGTGAGGAACAATAACCATAACAGCTAACATTTTTTGAGCACTTACTGTATGCCGGGCACAGCGCTAAGCACTTGATATGATTTTTCCCCCATTTAATTATCATAGAGACCCCTCGAGATGGATGTAATTATTATCCCTGTTTTACAGCGGAGGCAGCCGATGGTTGAAGAGATGGGGGTAACTGTTGAAGTTACACACCTGGAATGAGGCAGAGGTGGGACTTAACCCCAGGCAGTCATAAGGGGCATTTGATCCTAGAGATCTCTAAGGCCATTGGGTCCTTATTCTCATTTGTGAAAGTCAGAGGGTAGCACCTGATTTGTAAATATCTTACTTATAAACTTCCTGAACGAGAACTAGCCACGCCTCTGCCCCCTCCCCGTGCCTGGCAGTGACCTCTGCAAGGGATTCTACCACCCTGGCCCTGACGTCCCCTTATTGTTACATCTTTACCACCTCCAGTAGAGCACCCCATGTTCCCACTCCCTGAGTGCAGCAGGAGGAAAGTGATGGGAGGTGTGCTAAGCTCCCCGCTGGAGCCACTGCCAGCCTCCCTGCAATCCACCCGAGAGGGTCTCTCCCTTCCACACTGGCTCTCCCCTCTGGGTGCTGGTCCTTCATCCTACAGCTCCTGCTTGGTTCCCCAGCAAGCTCCTGCTGGGAAGATAGGAAAATACTTTGCATACCTGGAGAATGCGATAGCGTTGAAGTACTTCCTCATAATTACATCATTTATGTTCTAGACATATTGCAACTTGGAAAGTGTCTTTGCGCAGCTGCAATATTGAGATGGGGCACTGAACACACCTTTGTGGGCTGGTCTGGAAGTGCTTCCACTGACCCTCTGTGGAGAAAGGTCTTCCCAATTCCAAGAGTTCACAAATGAACTTTTGGAAGACAATCTGATTCTGAAATTGGATACCTTCCCCAAACCTTGCAGGACTGTGATGAGGATAAAATGACATAAAATACTTGCCCAAGGTTCACAAAGTGCAGTATATGCACTGTCTTCCCGGTGCTGTGTTTTGGATACTTTTGATTTTGTGGCAAAGGCTCAGGAGAGCCCTGTTCTACTGGCTCCTTGGCCTGCAGCGGCACCGCCGCCATCTTGACTGGTTCTTGGGGTCAATGTGAATCCTGAGAGAACTCCACGAGCAAACTGCAGGTCTCGCCAGGCATGCACATGCAAGGTCAGGCGAAGGAGCCTTTCAACAAGGGCTGCTGGGAGCTAAGGCAGAGAGGCCGCTCCCTCCGCTAGCTCGATGGTGCGGGCAGACGTGGAAGGAGCACTGACTTTCCAGGTAATTCTCCAACTTTCTGTGCGTCCATTAACAGAGCCCCAGTGTCCACGCCTACTGATAACATCTATGTCTAAGGAAACATATACAGCCTCTGATGTAGCTGTTGCTTTGGAAACAAAGTGAAAATATCAGGTAAATGGTAGAGAGAGTGACTGTTTATGGTAGCAAGTTTCTGTTTGGAATGACGAACAGTTCTGGAAATGGACAGTGGAGATGGTTGTACAACACCGAGAATGTACTTCATGCCACTGACTTGTACTCTTCCAAATTGTAAAAATGGTAAATTTTATGTTATATATATTTTACCACAACTTGAAAAAACAGGGCAAACATCAATGAAGCCACTTACACAGCAGTGAAAACAATGGAAGAAATGCAGCTCACCTGAGAGCTAGCGTGTAGCATCCCGGCTGCCGCTGGCTTTCTCGAAGGATGTAGGCCCCCTCCACACCTCCGAGGAGCTCGTCAGCCTGCTCCCGAGAGATTATCCCGTGAAACCTGAGGGGTGTAAGACCATTGTTACTCTGAAGAGACTGCATACAAAGTAGGGACCACAGATAGCTAGGCTTAAAGGGATGGCAGGGTCACCCAGAATCTATAGGTCCCCTCTTGGGTGAAGAGGGGGTGACTACTGCACATCGTGACTAACTAAGAACAACCTCTCAGCATGCCCCGGCCAGATACTAAGTACTCAAACAGGCACATAAGGAGGAACACCCAGTCCACCTGGCTTTCTGCTGTTGTTTTTGCTCTCAAGCTGAAAATGAAAGTGGAAACAAAAAGCCAGGTGATGTCTCCTTTCTTTGAACCATAAGAAATTACAGAAGAGCAATTACCAATTTAGTTCTCAGCTCAAACACAGAGAACTATGTATTATCTTGGTTGCAAATGAACAGTTATTGATTAGCGACCTGCTTGCTTCGGGTGCAGGGTGGTGTTAATTTTAGAGGCTCATTCTCTGGAAAGAAGAGCTCGGTTTAATCAACATTCTTCCAGCTCTTTAAATGTGAGAGCAATAGCTTAGGGACATGTTTGGAGAATGTACCTATTTTTCTTTTTTAAAGATAATGTTTATCTTCCTTTTCTACCATTTAAGAGTAATACACGTGCATGTAGAGAACTCAGCATACCCGGGAGGGTTGGGGGCTTGGCCAATGACTGCTTTGACCTGGAGGCAGTCGTCTGAGGCCCAGAGAATGGACAGCGACTCCCAGGAGGAAGAGGGCAGGTGGGAGTTGGGTCGGGAACCAGCCCACTTTCCCTGCTGCCTTTAAGCAAAGACAACTGCTCCCCCCACTACTGGGCATTTGCTCAATCAGTGTTTCAGAAGAAGGTGAGCAAACTGGGTTGGAGGTGAGGTCAGTGCCCAGGGACTCCAGGCTCCTGGGAGAGGGAATGACACCTCTTTCTAGGATTACCCAATCTTGGAGGACTTTGGGGAATAAATCAGAGAAGAAATGTCCTAGACCAGGAAAAATTCCGTTACCTTCTTGGAAGGAAAAGGGGAAAGGGAAATGAGCTAGACAAGTTTTGTTTTGTTTTTTTCCCCAGAAATGCAAAGATTAAGTTAGAGGACAAATGTAGAAGGATAACATTTTGGGGACAAAATGTGCCTATTACAATACTGATTTCCTAATGTCCTCTATGCTTCACAAGGAGATAGACCTTCCAAGCTGAAGCTCTGTCCCAGGGAAGTAAGGTCAGAAGTGGTGGTGGCTTTGGGTTCCAAAATCAGCTCTTAAGTCTAAGGCTGCGATATCTTGGGAGAAAGAGGTTTTCTGGCTTCCCAGATTTGGGGTTTAAATCTCAAGAGATGATGCTTGCTGGCTGTGGAGCAGTGCTTTTCTGCGTGAGGATAAACGTGCTGTGATGTAGAGCAACCCTCCTGCTCCCCAGAAAAGACCGGTGTCCCCAGTGCTAGAGAGAGGGAGATGTGGAGGGGTTTTGGCAGAGCCCGGCTGAGGGGGTCTAATTGGTCCTGCATAGCAGATATGGACTGGGACATGCGGCCCAGCTTATTGGGAACCTGGACAGAGGTGTTTGGGGCTTTGATTGTGAGTGAGGCCATCGGACCCTAGGAACCCTGCAGAGAAGCCTCCCATGTGGCATGAGCTGAGGCTGAGGAGGGCAGGACAGACGGGCAGGGCAGAGTCCTAAAGGCAGCCTTGCACATGACGGGCCAGTGAGTGTATGTATGTGTTTGTGTGTATGTGAGTGTCCATGTCTGTGTGTGTGTGTGTGTGTGTGTGTGTGTGTGTGGTGGGAGGGGAGTGCAGGGGGAGAGTGGGATGGGCAGGGGGCATTGAAAAGCTTCCCACACCAGAGTCAGAAAAGATAAAAGTCATACCACCCTTAATGTGCCTGATCTCGTCTGATCTCAGAAGCTAAGCAAGGTTGGGCCTGGTTAGTACCTGGATGGGAGAAAGGTTAGAAGCTGGGATGTCCAGGACACATTCCAACCATGGGTCAGGGCAGGGCAGCAGGGTGAGACACACAGAGACCTGCCCCAGGTCCCTCCTGGGGATGAAGGGCAGGAAAAAGGGGAGGAGTCTCCCTAATGGGCAGTTAAGGGTTTTTTTTTAATGCTTGATTTTGATCATGCATACTTTTTAAAAATTTTATTTTTTAATTGACACATAATGATTACACACATTTATGGGGTGCCTGTGATATTTTGATACATATATACAATGTACGATGATCAAATCAGGGTAATTGGGATATCCATCACCTCAAACATTTATCATTTCTTTGTATTGGGAACATTCAAGGTCTTATTTTCTAGCAATTCTGAAATATACAATAAATTGCTGTTAGCTATAGTCATCCCACTGTGTCTAGGACACTAGACCTTAAGTTTTAATTGGCAAGTGTAAGTGATTAACAGCAGCAGACAGTGTCAAGGACTAAGTTAAAAAATTCGATCGTTCAGGCCGGGCGCGGTGGCTCACGTCTGTAATCCTAGCTCTCTGGGAGGCCGAGGCGGGCAGATTGTTTGAGCTCAGGAGTTCGAAATCAGCCTGAGCAAGAGTGAGACCCTGTCTCTACTAAAATTAGAAAGAAATTAATTGGACAACTAAAAATATATAGAAAAAATTAGCCGGGCATGGTGGCACATGCCTGTAGTCCCAGCCACTTGGGAGGCTGAGGCAGGAGGATCGCTTGAGCCCAGGAGTTTGAGGTTGCTGTGAGCTAGGATGACGCCACGGCACTCTAGCCCAGGCAACACAGTGAGACTCTGTCTCAAAAAAAAAAAGAAAAAAAATTCGATCGTTTAGAAGAAGAAAGTGACAATTTTGTGCACCTGAATTTTGTGCACACAGTCTGTGGATCCTCATTTCCTTTGTGCGTGACTTTCAAAAATCCAAATATCTATGATCTATAATATCTAATATATATCCCATGATTGCAACATTGTAGAAAGAAAGCATGCACAAAAACCAGAAAGAAAGGGATGAAGGGAAAAGTTAGCGATGATTCCCTTTCATGGCGGGACTGTGGGTGTTTTCTCCCTTCTATTTTCCTGTAATTTCTATTTTTCCCAAATTAGCAGGTGTTAATTTATTAACTTTTTAAAAACAAAAGTAATACCTGTGCATAGTGGGAAAATTAAAAACTCAAAAGCTGAAAGGTACAAAAGAAGTAAAAGTTATCTTTCCCTAAAAGCATCCATGTCAACAGTGTCTTTGATTCCTTCTAGGAAAAAATGTACATGTGTGTTTCCTTAATAGAGCATGTATCACTTTTTTGAGTGGATGGAAAAAAAACCTCTTCATCTTAATAAAATAAAAGGGAAACAGAATCTGAAGGTTTTAAGCTAATTTTCCTCTAATATAAAAAGTTCCTTTCTGTGGTTAGGAAAATGTTTCTGTGGTCTCCTCTCACTATACACATTTTACATGAATTGGGGGTTGGAGGATGAGAACTAAAAGGTTATTCAACAAAACTTTTATGCAAAAAAGAAAATGCACAATAAATAGAGTTCCTTTTGGAAATTCATTTGCAAAATGTATGTGGTAGGTTTTGTATGTGGTAGGTTTTCATTCTCTCTCTCTCTCTCTCTCTCTCTCTCTCTTTTTAATTCATTGCGCTATTTCCAAGCAAAACCCAAACCAGTATATTGAGAGAAAAAGCCATACTATTTAATATAACATATGTTAGCTGTTAGGGACATGAGGGGCGGAAGAGCAGAGGCCAGAGCTCTCGGGCGGGTATTCCAGAGGTGCTGGCCGAATTGTGAAGGGCCGGACAAGGAAGGTTCTGAGATGCAGCTGTGGCTACTAGGAAGGGACACTGGGCTGGGACCGCTAAGAGGCTCATTAATCATGGAGATGAGGCTCTGGTGGGTAGGGGTATAAGAGGAAGAAGGTTTGGGATTGGTCAGGAGAGTTTCAGACGTGGACTCAAAGGAGACTTTGCCTCACAATGTCCTCAGTTTGGACGCGGGAAGAAAAGTGATTTATGCATCTCCTCTCTCTCGGGATATTCTGCCTGCCCTCCGAGAGGTGTTCTAGACATCACAGCTTACACCGTGATTTACTTTTATGGTCACGCATATTTCCTTTGCAGTGGGTTGCGGAGAAAGTAAAACAAAACAAGAGTCAAAACTAAGAGGGAAATGGGAAGGGGGGCTGATAATGAAGGTATTAAGGTGACTTGGCTAATATGTACAAGTCAGAAATCACCATTTGGGTTTTATGAGACTGCAGAGAAATGGATGCCTTTCCTGACCACTGCGTTTACTGGGGTACACGAAAGTCAGGAATTCAGCTACAGTGTCCCATCTTTGACACCCCAAGCGTTTATATTGTGTTGAGGTAAAAAAGTGAAAGAAAATACAGAGGACCTCATTTATGAAAAATGCTGCCTTACACTTAAAATACTTGCCAGGCACTCAGCAGCTGCTTTTGTGGAGAGAAACATAGCATGAGACACTCTCCCTCCCACATTAATGGAAACCAAGCACCTGAACGTTATAAAGAAAATTCATTACAAAGGAGTCTTGATTGCATTTATTCTTATTATTAAACTCTTGCACAATAGACATGTGGTGATGACCATATATTAAAGAATTTTTAATATTTAACACTTAAATGACACATGAGATGACTACTTATTAAATTATTAAAACAAAGAATAGTATAATACATACTCTCTTCCATAATATTTTGGTCTGTTTTCCACCTATATTAAAAAGAAGAAAAATATTAATAATGCATTTAAATTCAAATCTGCTAGATAAAAATGCTACTCAAATAAACATAGCTAGAGTCCTGGTAGTAATTTTATTACAGATTTTTTTCCCCAAATCAGAGATCCATGAAGCTATGGAGTTAATCAACACATTCCTCTGTCTTGGGTAGGAATGATCTAGAATCACTACATTTCTCCAATCACTGGGCTCATTTCCCACCCCAACCCCATCACCCAATAAAAAAATTTTCAGAGGAAACAAAGTGATGCTTATTTTAATATTAAGGAATTTATAATGATATTATAAGGCTTCATCCTGAAGGATAAAACCATTATTTCTAGCATGAATAAAACACAAGCATTTATTTCAATCTTCATCTAATTGTTTTGTTATGTATCTGTAATTAAAACAAAGAATATACTGGGATTAAAAAATAAAACAGGCTTAAATTTGATCTCCTTCCAAATAAAATCAATAGTCTAACATTCTTACTTGTTCAACAAATGGCTAATGAGTTAAAATTCACTTGACACAAGAGATACAGGATATAGAGGACAACATTTATGAGATGACTAAAAATCACAAATTTTCCAGGAAAGATTTTTCAATCACAACTTTAGCCTTGGGGTTATCACACTGAGTTTTTCTCTCATATAAGGTGATCTGCTTTCATAAGAATTTTTTCTGATGTTTATGGTGTTTCAGCTGATAAACAATTAACACAAATTCTCACGTTCAGCTTTTGTTCTTCTTGTCTAACTCCAGGGACGCGCAAAATATAGGAGAGCCACATTAAGTTACGGATTTTTATTGATGGTTATGCACACGACAGCAAGTTTACGTTTATTCACTGGAGTAGAATATGAGCTTGGCAGCTATTTCATTACAGTCCTTTCTTTCTACAGTCACAGGGGCAGTTTTCTCAGCAGGGCTCAGGATAGGCACAGTGGCAGGACTTCAAGATAGTGGGCAATTTCCTTGCCTCCCCCAAGCCTCCAAAGGATGTAGGGGATCTGAATGGGTGGTGGGGCACTAGGGACTTGGAGAAAAGACACAGGAAGGGGGAGCCAGGGCTCTGAGGACCATGCTCACGATTCTGCCTAGGACAAGCCTAGCTGGTAGGAAACTAATCATTGAGACACTTCTAAATATGCGTTCACTCTTCTGTGCATTTTACACCTGAAAATTACTCAGCCAAGAAGGGCATTCATAACTCTCTTAATCTTCAAGGTTTGAAGCCTGCTCAGTGTCATTTGTGAAGGAAGATTTAAATAATGTCATTAATAGAAGCACAAAGTGTATAAAAAGGCACCTTATTATCTGACATCCTTTCTATAAATGACATGTACCATTACTCTACATGCTGGTAAGTTTTTCAATATGAGTTGAATACTCTGTCATTTATATCACCCTGTTGGCTTTCGAAGTTCTTCCTTACTTTTATGATATTATAGATTTGTAACTGTAAAACCAATGTGCCATAGAAGAAATTTAGGACTAGAAAAGCCAATGGAAGCAGACAGCACATAATGGCAAAAACTCTCTCCATTCTTCAAGAGGCAATATTCCAAAATTTGAAATGATTCCGTATATATGAGGACAATTTTTTTTTATTTCCATCTTTTTATCTGAGCCATAATACAAGTTTGCAAAATCAGGGTATAGCTCCCAACCCCATTCCCTTCCTCTATCCTCTTATTTCCCTCTTATTTTAGATTAGAGTAATTGATCTAACTCCCCTGATGGACAGCATGGTAATAGAGCCTACTACTAACTCCTGGCATTGCAGGTAAGCAGTTAATAAATGTTGAATTTAATTGACGCTTAACAAGACAACAAACTGGTTTCAGTTCATCAATGAATCATGAAAATGTATGACACACTTTTTATATTGAGGGCTCTGTGTTCAGGCCAGTCATTGCTCATGAACTGATGACCTCGCAGGTGCAGGGAGGAAAGGTATGAGGAGCTCAGGGGTGTTCTGAGCTTGCCGCAGAAGGAAAGCACTTAAGGAGAAATCTAAGATAGGCCCCCATGGAGGCAAGTTAATATTTATGGTGCCCTGAGGGACACCATAAGATCCTGCCTTGAGGACAGTTTGATCCAATTGAGGGACTAACCCTCTCCATGTGAAAACCACTAGAAAATAAAAGGAGAGCATGGCATTGGGGTGGGAGGACAGACTGCACATGGAATAGGACCGTGCAATAGGTTCCAAATATTGCATAAGACATATACTAAAATATTATTCCTTGTTTATCAGAAATTTAAATTTAACTAGGCATCCTGGTTTTATTCTTCTTTCTTTCTCCTTTCTTTTTTTTTCTTCTGAATCTGGCAACCCTACATAGGAGCAGAGGAAAGATGGAAGTGAGAGAGGATGTGTTTGGTCACTGGATCACTGCTCCTCCTGCTCGGGGGCTGTTTGGATAGCAATCTGATTCAATCTCTCTTCTCTTTGTTGTCTCCGTAGCTCTTAAAGAAAATATACCTGTCCTTGTTAATGTTAAAGAGAGAGAGATAATGGCTAGGATATGAAAAACAAAAATGTCTTCTTTTTCCTAAATGTTTTGCTCACAGAAATCTAAATATAGTCTCTATCTCTATTCCTCACTAAACTTTAAGCCTGTCAAGAACTTAATGTTTAAGTTAAAAGACCCTAGAAAAATCATAGAACACCCACATTTCTTCCTGTTAGATAATACTGGATCCTCATATCCAGACAAAACACAGTTGGCTGGGTATTAGGGCTCCTAGGGACAAGGGACCTGCTCTAGAGAAGCCTGACTCACTCCCCAGGCACAGCTCTCTGTAAGCCACTAGCAGAAATCCGGATTTGTTTTATTAAAGAAGCTGTGGTTCTTAATTTCGGTTTCCAATTATATGAGATTCTCTTCTGTAAGTGTGAATGAGGCGGAGGATAGTTGATAAATAAAAAGTAAGGTAACTCAGAAATGGTTCTTGCATTTTCACTGAAAATTATATTTGTTCAAATTAGGCAACTTAAGCAAAAACTAGAGGACTAATTTAGGTGGATTCAGGAAGGGATGTAACATAGCATGAATGAGAGTTGGTTCTGGAGCTTCCTCGCCACTGTGATCCTCCCAGGGCAGCAGCTGGAGCCAGTTAACCCATCACCTGGTGAACCTGGCCGTTGTGAATATGACTGACATCCGTCAGGTCTGCCATGCCTGCTCTTGGGATTTAGTGCTCCAAGTCCAAGAAGCAAAAGAAGCCTACCCTTTTCAAGAAAAAAGGGAAAAAAGTCATAGTTCGTAGACGAATTACTAGATCCTCTAATACTGGGTCCTTAGGTAATCCAACCGGTTCAGAAAGGAGAGCGCCAAGCAGGAGCTCACAAACACACGAAATGGGTCCTTCCCCAAGCACTCGTGGAGTCAGTGTATGTGGTGTGGCCATGCAGAATGGTGGCTGATTCTTTTTAAAAATACAACATTTTATTCTAAATAAGCATTATCTACAAGAGAATCCTCTCCTAAGGTAAGCACAATACAAGCCACTGAAAACCCTGCTGATCAGAACATTTTTGGAATTTCTCCTTTGGAACTGCCTTAAGATATACTACCCTTTCTTGTGAATATCCTTACAGCTGCGCTTCTCAAAGTCTGGTCATTCAAAACAGAAACTTCAAGAAGTTTGTTAACGATTGCAGATTGCTGATCCCCACCTCGGACCAACTGAGCCAAATTATTGAGAGTGGGGATATAATGTGTTAGTTAATCAAATCCTTAGATGATTTTTAAGCACATATTAAAGTCAGAATCGTTGCTATACAGAAATACATATTTGTTTTTTGAAAATGGGTTTGAGAGTGGCTATTATTTTGGCAAAGAGGCGTAAGTTATTCAGAGTCAACACCAGTGAATGGGATGGGTGATTGTGCTGGGAAATACATTTGAGACAAAAATGAGGCATGATCATAAGATAACAAAATTTTCACTGTGACTTGCTCTGAAAATATTTTAGAAGAGACATTCCCCAACACTCTCTGAGCAATGGGAACTTGGCGGAAATAAAAGCAGAGCTACCCAAGATGACTGATGGAAAGGGATCATGCTTGCGTAATGTATGTGTTAAAATAAAATCTATTTCATGACTTTAGAGTCACATCTCGAATATAATTAAATTGCTAGGACTGTGATTATCAAAGATGGTTTTGGTCCTGTCCATACTCTCCACGTACTGTGTTCCTGTATATGTGAGGCTGATGCAAATGTTACGGCTTCCAGCCTAATGGCCTCATCACCCTTGCTCATCCTGTGGTCCCATCAAACCGAATTACTTGCAGTTCCAGAAGCGTACTCCCTCTAATGTGTCCATCATTTTTTATATGTTCTTGTTTGAAGATACTGAATTCTCTTTCAGAAGGGGCAGATCAAATGGTGGTGGAGAGGGCAGGCTCTGGACTCAGAACCCCCAGCTTTGAGGCCAGATCTGTGTGACCTTAAGCGAGTTACTAATTTCTCTATTCCTCAGTTTTCTTATTTTTAAAATAAGAACGATAATAAAAGTGCCTGCCTCATTGGGTTACTGTAATAGTTAAATGCATAAATTTGTGTAAAGTGCTTGCAACAGTGCCTGGTGCACAGCTATTCAATCAATATTAGCTATTACTGGTATCAGAGAGGGCCTCCTCTGTACAGAAGGAAGAGTTAGGCCCATACTTTGCTGTATTCTTAGAAACTTTACATATCTCACTGTGTTTTAAATTTTTACATTCCAGTTTTTTCTCTAACTACCCCGTGAGGTTTTTGGAGCAGCAATTTTGTCTTCATCATCATTGTATTGCTAGGATTCCTGCCAATATCTGGCACAGAGAACGTGAGGAACCCCTTGCTATCTGAATCTAATCCATTCCTAAAAAATGTGCTGGCCAGCAAAGTGTCCAACAGCAAGAGTCTCTATTCCATTACTTTACACGGAAAAAAATAATAATTCACATTTGGAGCATCCAAATATATCAATTTTC